GCTGTTCATTTTTCCAATGCCATAGGGACCAAGTGCCAGCCAGGATTCATGGTGTTTCCCTACTCTTACATTAAAATCTCCAAGGACTATCAGTTTAATGTTTTTCTTCTATAGCCACAAGAGTTGGATCACTTAAGGGAACGCAAAGTTTCATTATTCGATCATTGATGTCACTCAGTTTCTCCATGTTCACCAAAGATGTCTGTATGGCAAACTCAACACCACTATCAGGTTTGTCACCTTTTGGTTTGCCAAACCTGGATGCAGTGAATCCAGATGACACTTCTGAGAGACGATCCTCATCAGACAAATGTGTTTCTGAGGGAGCAACTATATCAATATTCAGGCATTGCAATTCTTTGGTAACAAGAGCTGTTCTATGTTCTGAGCAGTTTGTGTTTTCACATTTCAGAAGAGTTCTTACATTCCAGCAAACAATTTTGTGTCGATATCTTTGTTTCAAAAATTTTCTCATTCTGTTCCTGCATTAAATGAACCACCATTAGCCGCAGTAAACAAACCAACTTGATTTGGACAGGCAATATTTGATGCACCTTTTCTAACACCTCAAGAATTTAGGTGAGCAGCACTCTCCCTAAATAGGGGCTGCTCAGATACAGGAAACTCAACCCAAATGTTTCTGCTCGTGATGACATGACAATGGTATTAAGATAAATCTCCTGCCACCAGATAGTATTTTTGTGATTATATGCTACTGAAGTCTGCAAACATTTACCACTCCTACATCACCATGTTACTTCTATGTGAAATCAGATCTGTAAGACACAGATAGTAAAGCGTCAGTGAAAAGCCAGATTAAAATGACAGAATATTCTGAAACAATAAGATGCTGAGACATCTGCACATCATTGGATTATAGTAAGTAACAAAACAGTTGTGCAACACAGGTGCCACTCTCTGAGTCTCCATGAATAACACCCAGTGACAAGCCAAGGCAAGATAACAAGTACTCACTTCAACCACAGGTTTTCCCAAGCTTAAACCTCCAATCTAAAGTTGGTCAGTTTGGCAATTTATATTTCAGTATTGGTTTACTATTTTTTTTCCCCCATGATACCACGGTTTTCGATTCTTTTTTAATTTAGTATTTTTGCTTTCTAAGGAAGCCATTCATTTTCTTGTGTAATGATAGCATTTCCAGTCAATATCTGATTTCGTTTGAGATTGATAAATTTGCAACTTAGTCCGTTCAACTCACAATATCTTATGTATTTCTGGTCCAATCTTAAAAATATTCATATGGCTGTAAAGAAAATAAAATAATCTTTCTAAATATGTAATTTGTATGTACTTTTATTCATTGAATTATTTTTTACAGCAAGTTAAAACAGTATTTTGCTTCAAACAGCCAGAAAAGCAAAATCTTATTGATTTTTTTCCAAAACTAAACTTTACACACTACTTTGATTTGCAAAATCAAAGTGACCAATCTTTATCAATATTCTTGAAATTGTACACTTAACTAGAAGACACCTTAAACTACAGCCAGGAAGATGTACATTTCTTCTCTGACCTGAGGAAGAGAATTCCTTCAAAAATTATAAGCAAAAAAAAAAAAAAAAAAAAAACAAACAAAGTAATAAATTGATGGTAAAGAAAACTTCAAATTATTAAAACTACTGTCTGAAACTGACTAGCAGCTAAAAAATTTTTTTACTTTGGCTTTAAGTTTTGCAGTTTTGCCAATATACACATTTTTAAAACTGAGATTAAAACTTACTTTTTTTTTTTTTTTTTTAAATAATTTTAGGTGTATTATTCACTAGATAGAACAATTTTAAAAGAATTTTACTACACTTAAAGATTCGCATATCTGGAAACATACACATTTTAAAAGTGGAATTAAGAACTATTTTAATTATTAATATCTAATTTAGGTGCATTCCCTAGGTAAAAAAACAAATTTATTTAAAAAAAAAAAAAAAAAAAAATCTTCATTCATATTGGCATGACTGGCTTACTAGAAAACAATTACAAAAAATCAGACTTCATAAAATTTAACAATAAAACAAAACTGGCAACTATTTTTTTTTTTGTTTACTGACTATTTTAACTTAATTTTACCACAAAAAGTTTTTTTCTTTTGAAAACTGAAACAAATAGATTTCAAACATCATGTCGTATTTCCTTTTATTTTTCTTCTTCATTTCTTTTGTAAACAAATAGATTTCACATTTATTTCCTAAAACCAGTCAATTAAATAAATTTTTGTTCAATCTTTTTCTCTTACAATGGTATAAATGTTGATAAAATATAATTTTATTGACATCTGAAAGTTTTTTTCAATAGTGTTTCTTTGGATATGGTGACTCAGTAATGATAAACCGAATGATTTCAGTTTCGTAAAAAATTTTGATGCAGTTTCAGTGTAAAGACAAAACTGAAAAAAGTCTGTTTTTCTGTTAAACCACCCATCTCAATTACAATCAAATGTCATATACATATATACACATACTTGATATCATGCTACATATACTAGATGACCATTGATCCCACAAGAGGATTCATTCACCCTTTGTCAGGTCTTATTTTTCATCCTGCAGGGAGACTAGCCACCCTCCTCAACAGTCAAGTATGGCAGGAAACCAGTTTAATCACCAATAACCTGACTATGCAGCAGCTAGTACTGGGTTATATGTTATGAGTAACACACATCAAGTGATGTGACATATTATGCATACGTATGTATATACATGCATATGGTTAAAATACATTGGATCTAATAATTGATCCCTCTGTGCAAATATTCAGGCCAGCAAATGGAAATAAATATACTGTTTAATAAATAGTCTACTTAAACATGAGTATCTGTTAAAATACTGTTTAAAGTGACAAATATACATATGTGTGTGTGTGTGTGTGTATGTATATATATATATATATATAAACAGAACAATAAACACAAAAATTAGTCTTATTATTACCACTCATGATAATAAAAAGTAAAAATGAAAAACAGGCTAGCTAACCGGTTTCAAACCTCAATCAATAGAGCTAACTCGAGGTTAATAAAGTAAATTATTTAAAAAAGAACAATGGACAAAATATTTTAGGTGCGGGGGGGGTATATAGATGGTAATTAGTTGGAAACCTAATACAAAGTTCTTCTGTTTATATAGAGAAGGCTATAATGATAGAATATAGATGGCCCCCAACACTTTTAGGTGGTAATTAGAGTGGGATCAGCTAAGGATGGTAAAAGAGTCTGCACTAAAACTAACAGCACAATTACGCCTATTTATTAGATGTACTTCGATGGGAGACCCATATGCATTGGTCAATATGTCCAAGGGAGTGTACTTAAGGTTTCAGATTTTCGCTGGAATGTATTGTTTTATTCTAGCATCCAGCCTTTGTGTCATTCTCCCTATGTAGTGTGAACCGCAACTACATTTAAAAGAATAAATTAATGAGTTATTATGATGTGGAGGGGGGGAGAACATCCTTACGCATAGACGGAAGGACAGGCTTGGCAGAAAAAACAACACAAGCGTTAGCAGCAAAGAAATAATGTTGAACTGCGGTAGAAACCTGTTTAGCAAACCTATCAATGATACTACCTAGCCAAGGAAGGCATAAGTACACAGGACATCTTTTTACTATAGCAGGTTTGACTTTGTTGAATTCAGCAATTTTATTCTTAATAATTGCTTGAACAATGCCTAATGAATCCAACTTGATTTCAGAACAGATCATAAGAGCCCTATGGGTAAGGGTCTTAATTAAATTAATTTTGCGCTTCCTGGGACAAAAAGAATCCCAATGGATATACAAACCAGTAAACATCAGTTTATGGTAAACGGGAGTAATAAAACCCAACACAGATCTGTTGACCAGTATATCAAGAAAGGGAAGAGACAAATCAACCTCCTTTCCCTGTGTAAATTCTAAGACTGGATGCATATTGTTAAGGGACACAAGGAATTTGGTCCGCTTTAATCTCGCTATCGAAGAGACAAAAGTGTCGACGTAACGGAAATAAACATCAGTTTATCAGATTTTAATTTTACACTCTTTTCTTGGAATCCATCGAAACTGAACTCGACTGACATTGTGGTAAATTTCATCAGTTCAACAGTCAATTGTCTCCGCCCATTATTCCGGTGGATGCCGGAATAATGGGCGGAGACAATTGACTACGATACAGGGCATCAGCACATATATCAATAGTCTCAGCAAGTAGAATGCAAGTAAATAAACTGGCGATATCATAGGAACACATAAATTTATCTGTTGACGAATAACGATGCATAAAATGGGAGAATTCAAATGAATCTTTAATACAAGCAGAGTTATATTGCTCCAAAACTGGCTGTAGTATAGTGGAAAGCCATTTAGCCATGCCATGTTGAGAAGATACATACATACGGGTCTTCCATCGCAGAACACCTAATAAATAGCCAATAGTTAGTTTTAGTGCAGACTCTTTTACCATCCTTAGCAGGTCCCATTCTAATTACAACCTAAAAGTGTTGGAGGTGATCTATATTCTATCATTAAAGCCTTCTCTATGTAAACAGAAGGACTTTGTATTAGGCCTCCAACTAATTACCATCTAAATATTCCCACCCCCAATACACTTTGTCCATTGTTCTATTTTAAATAATTTACTTTATTAACCTTGATTTAGGTCTGTTGAGCAATTTTCAAAACCAGTTACCTAGCCAGTTTTTTCATTTTTATTTTTATCATGAATGGTAATAATAAAACTAATTTTTGTCTGTTTCTGGCAGTGATAAAATTTTGTACCACTAAACATATCTTTTATATATATATATATATATATATATATATATATATATGAGCCTGACCATCACTGGTAAAAAAATGCTTAATGATTTTTTGTCTTGAAGTGAAGCAAATTGTCACTCATGATATAGGGTTGCCAAATGAAGTTATAGGAGTGTAAGAGAAGGAGGTAAGACCTTCCAATTTCCAATCTTAAGTTGTTATCCATTACACCAACTGCACATCTAAACTGGTTTTCCCAAAATGGTCACCCATCTAGGTACTAACCAGACTTGACACTGCTTAACTTCAGTGATCATAGGAGAACCGGTATTTCAATGTGATATGGTCATAAGCCAAGTAATAAGAAGTGCAGTTTATTAAGATATGTCGGGAACATAACGATTAACCACAGACTTAAAACGGTTATGATTTTAGTAAGTCTCAGGAGTCTGTTCCACAAAGTAGAGGATCTTGGAAAGAATCTGAATAGAACTTCCATCTAATGGAATACAAAGAGAATAGGATGATTCATTCCAGTGTATGTGGAATTGCATGTCTTAGCCGTGAGGGTCAGAACTAATGAAAGCTGCTCATCAGAACATTTGTCATAAAAATAGCAATAGAGTAGTGACAGGCTAGCAACATTTTGTCTATGGAAAAGGTGTTATAGAATAGAAAATAATTCATCACCCACAAAGCCATGTAGATACTTTTGAACTCTATTTATACTAGAAAGCCCAGGATATGGTAGCAGTACTCCATTTTTTTTTTATCTAATATGTCTCTTGTAGAGGTAGAGAAAAGTCAGGTGGGGTACAAGGAAATGACCAGCATCTTTAGGGATGGGTTGTATATAAGAGTTCCAACTGTGATCTAGAGTGAATTAGAGTCCCAATAGGTGTTCAAAGCAAAAAGCCTTCTTGAGAGAACAAACATTCACCATAGGAGAAAATTCAAAGTCTAGGTCATGATAGAATGTTATGAGTTTAGTTTTGGTGTTATTGAATGTCACTAGCCAGTTTTCAAAAAAGTTTAAAAAGAGATCAGCTGCCATGCTCTGGTCATCTAGATTTTTGGAGATGCACTGTTGTATCATCAGCATAGATATTTCCTAAAGATCTGATTATGTTTTTTCAGTAGATCATTAATATAAAACTGAAATAGAGTAGAACTAAATGTCAACAGCCTCAAGCAGAGAGATCTAAAAAAAAAAAAAAAAACAGACATTGGAGAGCATCTCAGTGGCAAGAAAGTTACATATGCTTGATAACTGATCAGGAAAACTAAATTGGTTGGTAGCACAAACAAGGCCTGGTCAGAATGTTGACATGACTAATCTAACCAATTGTTTCAAAGAAAAAATAACTAGACTTATCAATAAGGCAAAAAAAGAAAATTACATTACCATCCCAAGCTGATGATCAAGGCAACAGTGATTTCAAAGGATACATGATCTTCCTTGTTGGGAGTAATAGAAATTACTTCCCTTCGTACTGCTAATCCAAGAGAATTCAAAGAGCACACAAACTGCAGAAATTTTGTCAATAGTAGATTTAGCAGAGGTCTGTGTTTTCTATAAAAGACTATGATTTACAGCACATTATATTCTATAACTTGTCTATCATTTGTAAAACAGTTCATGCTTAGATGACTCAACATACTCCAATAATTAACAAAATATTAAGAATTGAAATGGGCATACACTTGAGAAATTTTGACCAGATTAAATATTAAATCTACTATGGATATGCAAAAAAATATAAAACTGTTGATGGAATTATAAAAAAGACATGCCATCTTTCAAGATACATAAGTATATAAATACTTACTACACCTTCTTTGAGATCTTATTGTAAATGATGTTGTACTAACTAAAAACTTCATAGTAACATGCTATAAAAATCCAAAAGGAGAAACCAGATTTTTATGACTGCTATGAAAGACAAATTTAATCTGTATATTTTTCAAAGTTTTGTAATTCAAATGAACTGATTTTAACATACATTTATATAAGTTTAAGATTCAGATCATACTAATCACATTATACCTAACCAGTAAATTAGACAAAAAAAATAAACAAATATTACCTGTCCCATTATGCAAATTTTATACAAGTGTAACAACTATTAGAATTAGTGATTAGAAATGTAAAGTTTAATGAAGTAAATAAAATGAGATCACTCAAATTGCATAACCCTAACTTGGTGTAAAAAAATAAATAAAAGGGGGAAAATATTTTCCACTTGAAATTACTTCTTGAGTATAATGTAAACTATGTAGAAAAAACTAATTACTGACCCTGACCACCTGTTGCAAAACGGGACCCATCAGGATGTATGTCAATAGAAAATATGGGCTTATCTGAAAAGAAAAGATAAAAAAAAAACAATATTATCATCAGGAATTAAGGGAAATATTAAAAGCAGAAAAAGAAAATACTAAAAGCACCAATGTTGACATTTAAATAAAAACAAATGCCAGATCTTGTGACATTATGAAGGAGAGCACTTTTAACTCCTTATTGAAATATTCTGAGGATAGGTAATTTTTATATTTTATTCAGATCATGACAAGGTAAACCATTAATTTTTTTTTTTTTAGGATCCTATTACACTTTAAAGCAAGAACAAGTAATAAGTGTAAAAATATTTGATAACCTGTATTTATACACATTATCACCCATGCCCAGTTACTCAGCTTATACCCCCTTCTCCAACAGGGCCGGTTCTGCTGGCTTGGACATGTACTTTGTACACCAGATGGGAAGATTCCAAAGATCCTGCTGTATGGTGAACTGGCAACCAGCAAAAGAGCAACCGCATCTCCACTTCAAGGATGTCTGCAAAAGGGACATGAGAGCCATGGACATGGACCTCAACAGATGGGACATCAACAATTGTTCACACTGAAGATGTAATTTACACCAAGGTCTGGAGCAAAGAGAGGAGAAACAAAGTCTTGCTGCTGGGGAGAAGCATGCTTGATAGAAAGAAAACAAGGCAAGATCAGGGGGAGAGCATCTTTACATGCATTCAGTGCAATTGAAACCGTCACTTCTGAGTGGGCCTGTACAGCCCTAATTGTTGCTGCACCACTATGAGCAGCTGAGGCATAACTTTTTGGGTGCAGATGCAAGGTTTCTCAAGACCAACCATTGCCTCACATTTATACACAAAAGTAACATTGAGAAAAAATACCAATTTTGAATTAGAGAATACTATAAAATAGTCTAAAAGTTATGTGAGGAAAGGTAAACTATAGAGGATTTGAAGCAACAATTTTTCAGTTTTTTAAATGAAAGTCACTTAATGTTGTTACTGATATTTTTATATATAATTATTATTTATTTATTTATGTTTTTATTTTATTTAATTTACTTTTAATTTTTAAAGGACTTGAGTTAAGTTTTCTTTTAAAATTTTTAAAGTCTTATGTAAGTGAGGTTGAGAAAGGAACATTTTCTTTCTTTGAAAGGAAAGATTTTTAAAAATTCAGTTCTTAAGTTAATATTTTGACAGGAACTGATAATTGCAATTTCAAAAACTTTTTTTTTTGCGTGTTATTTTCCTGGTGTCTTAGTAAACAGACGTGTTTTTATATTGTTCAAAGAAATCAACGCCAATGTCATATTTTAAAATGCAAATCTTAATTATTTTAAGTATCTATTTATTCTTGTTTTTCTTTGTTTATTACATATTTTGTGTTATATTATCATACATTTATAATTATCAAAATGCATATTTATTTTTTTTAATATAAGTTGAGGTATACATCATTGTTTTTTAAAGTGTTATAGCAAGTTTACTTTATTAGAAATCTATTATCATGTCATATATTAAGGACATTTAATGCATTGTATTTGTTAGATTACTTATACATTGGCACTATACTGAAGCATAAAATCTTTATGAAAGAAGACAACTTTCAAAATTGTAAGAAAAGCATTTTGAGTTGTAATGTTTGTTTTCTTTGACTATTGGTTCAGTATCATTGATTACTTTTAGAGTTGGTCAGTTTGGCAATTTATGTTTCAGTATCAGTTTCCATTTTTTTTTTCTTGATATCGCGGTTTTAGATTCAGTTTTCTGGTTTTAGTATTTTTGCTTTCTAAGGAAGCCATTCATTTTCTTGTGTAATGATAGTATTTTCAGTTGATATCTGATTTCATTTGTGATTGATAAATTTGCAACTTAGTCCATTCAACTCACAATATCTTGTGTATTTACGGTCCAATCCTAAAAATATTCATTTGGCTGAAAAAAAAAAAAAAATAAATAAATAAAACAATATTTCTAAATATATAATTTGTATGTGCTTTTATTCATTGCTTTTAATTTTATTTTTAGAATGTGTAATTTTCAAATCTGTGAGTATCACCTGTTCTTTTTTCGATAAATATTTTAAAACCAAAATTAAAAACTATTTTAATCATTTTAATATTCACTAGATACATCCATAAAGACATTTTTAAAAATACAATGAATTAATTTATCTTTTATTTATTTCATATTCTGAAATTAATCTCCTATTATGTTAATTCACTACATCAGGAGCAGATGTTGGTTGTATAGCAGCAGAGATTGAACCGTCCTAACCATAACCCATTATTTTTATTAGATAGCAGCTGAGTCTCACAAAATGGTGTGACAAAAGTGCACAGTGAAAAAAAAAAAAAAACCCAAAACACTCATTATCAAAGTGCAAAAAAAATACACTCATTAATTTGATATTTGTTGATTTGTAGATCAGATGATGGATTTCAGTGCAGTCAATTGGTGAGTAATGCTGAAAGCATTACTGTTAGATATCCCAAACTGCCATAGGTTTGCAGTGTGAACATATGTCAAAATTGTGAAATTTCCTTTTATTTCAACTGCTGATCTCTCATTTGTTTGTGAGGCTATTTTGATAAGGTAGAAATGATTTTTTTTTATGGTTTTTGTCAGATGAAGTGGCATCAACATTTGTCTTTAGATAGGACAAGAAGAGTTCCAGGAATATTGACTACAGTAGAGGCAAATTCAGAGAACAGATCACCATTTGGATGATGAACTGCAGCATGACCATTTCAATTGTCCAGTTTATTTTTCAATTCCAATACATGTATTTACATTTATTTCAGTTTTTTTTTTAGTTTGAAAATAAACATTTGCTTGAAGGATTGCCTAAAGATTAATTTCATGAAACAAATTCTGTAGTTCTTTAGTAGTTATTACTGTTCTATTTTAAGGAGTCAAGAATTGTATAATTTCACAAAATTTTCAAAAATAAGATACATCAATGACCAAAGGTATTCCTATTATATTGCATCCCTCAGTCAAAATTGGTTACATTTCAAAGTTTCAGGCTTG